AAATGGTTACCGTAGCTTATGAACGTCTGCAAATACAGTTAACTCGCGACCTACCGTTGTGGAATTTATTCAGAGTACACTTAAAGAACGATTTCTCATGATGCTCAGGTAATACCATCAAGGGAGAGTTCATACGACGGGATTAATGATACACAGTAGCTCCAGGTAATACTGATTCATTTCGTTTCGATTACGTGTAGTGTGATGGTAAAAAGAAGTAAAAATTTTCATTAAACAATTCTCTACACATATAACTTAAGGACGACTTTCGTAAATCATAATCTTTCACAAAAATTTATTCCATTAAAAAGGCAATCTTCTCAGCGTCATCATACACTTTTTAGCACCTGTTTCTCGTAGTATAAAAGAAATAGCAACAATGACCGAGTGGAGCCGTAGTGTCGGCTCGTAGCTACAACAACGAAGGCACACGTAGTCTCATAGCGACTTCGTGACGACGCATAACTAAATATCTAATTAAATTAAATATCAGTTTGGTGGTGAGTTTTTTTTTCAGACCCCCATTTCTATAAAGAAGCTGTGGGCCTGTCGGTGTTAAGCCAGGGTTTTCACACATAAGTTCTTTTACAATGAAAATACAATAAAATTCTATAAAACTTTAGCATTAATTTTATAATACAAAAAGCCACGTCTTAGTTCTTACACAATTAGCCATTTTGTGATGGTTATAGAAACTACAAATTCTTTTATACAAACAAATGTAATTACTGCGAAACAATTCACAAAATATAGCTTAATATTCACAATACATATTTTAGTGATTTTTACATGACTGACATTAATTTATTTTACATGAATTACTTTTAACTTATATAAACTAACAATGTTATTATCCAGCCTATTCATAGATGGCGCCAACATCATTTGCATAACAATCACAATACTTAATTAATTTATTACTGTTAATTATAATATAAATTATTATTAATATTTATGCTTTATTAATATTTAATTATTTGTACAGTCATTTGTGTTTTTAAACAATAATATAAACAATAATTATATTCAGAGCATTTTCACATCAAAACGTGTCTGTTAAATATTAAATATGGTAGAATAACAGTTTCATCTTGCTAATAATAAATAAATATTGACATAGAATAAACTAAACTATATATTATTATGTTAATTATTGCCAATAATGGCGTTTGCGTCCATAAGTTCAATCTATAATTTTCTAAAAGGGACTCGAGACTTTTATCTAAATTAAAATCAGTTATGCTTTTAGGGAAAGTCGTTTTCAGATATACTATAATAGGCTCTTTATTGTGTCCTAACATGGGAAGTGATACATGAGTAACCATTAATATTTTTCCTCCACTAGCTCCTAATATAACTGCTCGATCACTATCCTGCATATTTTGATAGTAAAGTACCGTCGAAGAAAACTGTTGTGCCAACACAATTGGAATTTGCAATTTGTGCTTAAAATTGAGATATGAGGTCAGTCTCAATTATACAGTATAACGGCTGTCCTACCGTTCTAACTGGAACGAATGACTGCTTCGCAACAGAAATAGACAGGATGGTGGTACCTACCCGTGCGGGATACCATAAGATATGCCCTATCACCAGTGGAAGGTCTCAAAACCGGCATGAAGCTATGACTACAGGCTAAACAAAAAGTGGATCGTAAGCTAATCTTTTTACGTCCTTTGAATGAAAACGAACATATGGCCCACCTGATAATGAGTGATCAACATCGCTCGTGGACATCAGCAAAGTCAAGGGTACAAACAAGCGACTGGCTTACACTGAGAACGCTTACCCATCTGCCTAACATTGCTAATAGAAGTTATTAACCTATACTAATATTATAAAGCTGAAGAGTTTTTTTGTTTGAGCGCGCTAATCTCAGGAACTACTGGTCCGATTTGAAAAAATATTTCAGTGTTAGATAGCCCATTTATCGAGGAAGGCTTATAGGTGACATAACATCACGCTAAGACCAATACAAACGGAGCACCAATAAAGAATGTTTCGATATCGGGGTTAATTTTACGAGAGCTTCCACTGCGTGCTACGATTAAGGTTTCGCTAAAATAATGTATCACAGAATTGTTCCCCTTTAAAAGATCTAAGAATAAATCCGCGACAGCATATTTCTATATGTTAAGGTTGGCTCACTATAACGTTTTTTATGCTAACCAAATTTGTTCTAAAATAAAGCATTATTTGTGAACTATTCCACGCGGACGAAGTCGCGGGCAAAAGCTAGTATTAACATAATTGGTTATCCTATCAGGCAGCAAGCGTTTACATTAAATTTAATAACAACTTTGAAATTTTAGAACACCCTTTGAAAGTATAATGACAATTTCATCCGAAACTTCCAGCACAAAAGAGTAAATTTTTGTAATTATTTTTATAATTAAATTTTCAAATCTTCCCGTTCTTTCCGTTGTTAAACCCTTTTATGCTACGTTCAGCTACGTTTTAAAGTTATCAAAGGAATGAAATTAAATTTTCACGCTCCAAAATAACTGAATACTGAAAAAACACTTTTTTAATGAGATTTCAAATCACAGAAAACAAATATATATTTCTAATTGGAAATACCAAACTGTTTTTCTCGACATTTCATATTAAATGTCCTCTCAGGACTTTAATGAAAACAACATTGTGTGCATCGCTTTAAGAATCAGCGCCTTTACGTTGTCATTCTGTCGGCAGCGCGTTCGCACGAAGCGGAAAATCTTCATTTCCATTGCAAATTAACTTTGTCATCAATGCGGTGTGCTACTCGGCAAAACGACGACCACAAAACGATACTTATACTAGAAATTACATTAATACAAGTGACTGTTATAAGTCTACATTCATTTGAAATGTTTTCGTATATCCGCATACTTATCGGTAAGTTTTGGATAGCCTGTGTATAGATTTCAACGGATTATTTCGCCCCTAACCTCAAGGTGAACGAACGGTGGAAAGGTAGTCACGTATTAATGTTGAGTCTCCAAAATTTTTCGCAATCGCAAATAAATCGCATTTACGTCACTAAAAATTTAGCCCACCTGGTATCAAGTGGTTATCCATAGACATCACAACGTGAATACCGTGTTGAGTCCTTTTTTGATTAGAAATTGGTACCTGTCTGCGGGATATGAACATCGGTCGATAAGAGGACACCCGCAGACGTCTTTAGTCCTTTAAGCCACGACAACTATTTAAATGACAATACTATTTCTGCCGAAAAGCAATCATGTTCCGATTTGAAGGGTAGAACTACAATTACAATTATTTCAATATGGATGGTGACAATTACCTCATGACGCGTTTATGTCATTACACAATTGTACCTCGGTAGAATTTTTCTTTATCAGTCACTTCTGAACTCATATTAGCTACATACTTATGATAAATTGAGTCGAGAATCAAAGTACGTCGAGCTCTTACGATACTGGCTGGTTCTTTTGCGCAAAGTAGTACTTACTTTTTTTTTTTATGATTGAAGGATTACTGGTGGCCCGAAGGCCTTTCCAGTTTCACCAGGACAGGTGGGCGAGCAAAGGCTCAGCCAGGAGGGGATTACTACTTACTATATACGTGTGGTTCGGAAGGATTGTGACTACCATCACAACACCTTTGGCGGACCCGGCTAGAGTTGAGTGTTCTTGAGAAGCGATCTAGTCAAACGACTATGTCATTATATGGGTATACATTGCTCTCCCTAATTGCTTACTGGTGGTAGGACCTCTTGGGTAGGTACCACCACCCTGCATATTTCTGCCGTGAAGCAGTAATGCGTTTCGGTTTGAAGAGTGGGGCAGCCGTTGTACCTATACTTGAGACCTTAGAACTTATATCTCAAGGTAGGTGGCGCATTTGCGTCGTTGATGTCTATGGTCTCCAGTAACCATTTAACACCAGGTGGGTTGTGAGCTCGTCCACCCATCAAAGCAATAAATAATAATATTCATAAAACAAATTGGCCGTGGCATGGTCATTGAACCGAATACTTTCCTCAACTGTCCTTTATATGTTTATGTACATTAAATAGCTAACTGGTTCATCTCAGTTTATTTCTGGGAACACCTCCCACGTATTTACAGCCTGTGTTGTGCATTTTCCCTTCTAAGCCGACGAAGCTTCGAAGATATTTACAATGAGATCAAAGAAAGTTCTTCGATACGCTTCTGTAGCAATGTTTACTTATAAAATTAGTTAAATTCGAATTCATAGAATCTTTCAACTTTCTAACACTCGTGTCATGAATTCACACATAGCAGGCACCATCTTTCATTTACAACCATTCGCATATGATATACAATGGCCAAATACATAATATGTTTGATCTCAACGAATTAGGATGTAAATAGTTTTTAAATCATTTGATAAAATAAAAAAAGGAACGCGCTCGTTTGAAATTAAAACAATTCAATTACAACTAGTCGGTAGCGTATTTCTTTATTTAATAATCTTTTGTTAAATAGTGAACATAATGGGTTTTGTAATAAAGAAGTTCCTCACTGGTAAACAGAAAAGAAAAAAATTGATACTGCTGACAAAAGTGCTTTTTTATTATTATTGTAGGCAGTCGAGCATACAGCCCACCAACCAGATAGAGAGTAGTCGCTCAGAGACATCATCTGAATGTACAGTACAAACACACAGAAAGAACTGAAGTCTCTCCGTAGATAGTGTACAGAGAAACACACAAAGAGGAAAGCAGATAGAGTGAAGAAACGTAGTTTCTATTATAGCTAATTACAGAAGAAAACATTGTGATTGGTTTCTAATCGTATAATGTACTAGCTGAGTCCCGCGATGTAACCCGAGGTTACTCTCATACCGCGGGTGAGGCCGCGAGGCGAAGCTAGTCTAAAAAAAGTAGCCTAAGTTACTCTTTATATCATCAGACCTATCAGTGAAAGTTCCGTCAAAATCGGTCCAGCCGTTCCAGAGATTAGCCGGAACAAACAGACAGACAGACAGACAAAAATTTTAAAAAATGTTATTTTGGTGTATGTACCGTATATATATTCATTTACATGTAGTAAAAAGCGACTATTTCAATATTAAAAAGAGACACACCAATTTTATTTATATGTATAGATGTATGCATTAATCCATTCTTAATCTTTTCAATACACAAAAATCGATTAAGATACAGAAAAAAGTTTGTTTCATTATTTGTTTCTTCAAGCAAAACCTTTTTTAACACGTTAATCGTAATCTTATAATTATTTTATGTAAGTGTAAGCATTTGTGAGTGTTGTGTGATGTGCATTCGTCCCTGGCGTGCAGCGGGCGCATTACGGGCGGCCATCTTACATCGAAGCAATTTCAACGTGTTCTCCCATAAATTAGTTTGCTCTTCAACTACACCCTGACGAGAACTGATAGCCGTTTGCTCCTTAATAAATAACAAATTAGTTAATTAGAATAAACTAGATTTATCGACTCGAGATTAGAAATATTTGTCAGACATATGACATATATTACTGGTGGTAGGACCTCTTGTGAGTCCGCGCGGGTAGGTACCACCGACCTGCCTGTTTCTGCCTTGAAGCAGTAATGCGTTTCGGTTTGAAGGGTGGGGCAGCCGTTGTAACTATACTGAGATCTTAGAGCTTATATCTCAAGGTGGGTGGCGCATTTACGTTGTAGATGTCTATGGGCTCCAGTAACCACTTAACACCAGGTGGACTGTGAGCCCGTCCAACAATCAACGAAAAACCGAATTTTTTTTAATAGCTTTACCTTTTCCAAATTCTCAACGACTCGTTTCAAATCCGAAACTTTTAACTTCAGGGCCTCCATTTTCGATGGCTTCCTCGGGGACTGCATAGAATTTTTCGTTTCGTACATTACGATCTCTTGTAAACTTTCGGCCTTCGTTATTTTTTGCCTCAAGTTTTTCCATTCGTCCTCTTTGCTGTTCAATTGGTCGGTCAGAGTTTTCACTTGATTCTTGAGTGGCTCCATTTGTGAGGCTATATTAATGGACGTTGCCTCGTACACTCGCTTCCTTTGTTCGTATTGCTGTTGGACTGATTGAAACTCTTCTTTGACCGGTTTAATTTTGTCGGCGAGTGGCTGAATCTCTTGACGCACTTCAGACAGTTTTTGCGCTGTTTTTGCAACTATCTATTTTCCAAAGATTTATTTTATTTTATTTATAATGTATAAGGAAGATTTAAGAGTAAAAAGTGGACGTACCTGAGATAAATCGTGGAAAGACTTCCTTCCCAAGTCCATGCTGTTGTCGTCGTCTTTGCTCAAGAGATCTTTTTCGTCATCAATAATCATTTTCTTGTGGTTTACTAAAGCCATTTCTACAGTAGGATCAGCAACACTGATTATTTGTATAGTGCGTGCTAGAATTCCTGCTTCACTCTAAACGTAAACGACCATTTTCAATATTAATAGATTGAATTTCAACCAACAAAATGTATACAGTAGGTATATAATTTGCTTACCTTCAATGCCAAAAGATTGGCTCTTTGCCTTTTATACACCGTACTCTTTGTTCGTAACGAATTCACATATTTCTTGAGTTCTTCGCCTCTCAAAACCGTATCCCCCAGGAGCTGTTTCACCTAGTAAAATCAAATTACATTTTTCGTAGATTACAATGTAGTATGATACTTCGCGTAAGGTAAGTACTTTCTGTCTTGCCACAGCGGATATCGAAAATTACCTTTTGTTTCACCATTCGGGAAAAACTCAAGGGATTTAAGTACAAACAAGAAACTTAGCGAGGTTATAACATCAAAATTCAAGCAAATGTAAATCAAATAAAAATGTAACATTTAGCTGGCGTCGATTAAAATAGCACCTTATCTATAGGTATTTAATAATTCCATTTCTTCGACATAACGACCGATTCATTGAAAAAGGAAAAATGTTTTATGTAATCCCTGTAACGTATCCCGAGACATTGTCGTCAACAGACCAGGCATCGATTTCGATTAAATCCTGACCGCTATTTGATGCGATTCCATCAGAAGGGAAATGCTATTCTACTTTTAGTGTGATGATCGTGAGATAAAACGTTCGATCCTTTATTTAAAATCGATTTATCTTCAGAGTTTCGTCAGGTTTATGCAAACAAATTTAAAATAACAATTGAAAATTGTATTTGGAAAATATAAAATGCAAAGATTGTATGTAAATAGAAATAATATAAATGTAGTTGGGGTTTTCACGCGCATAATCCTTTATGATAAGATAAAACCTTCTAAGCAAATTGGATTATTAGTACAATCGAACTAATATTTTCAAGTGTGTATTGCAAATGTGCGATAGGGACAGCTGTTTGGAAGAATATTGTAAACGAAATGTAGTTTATTCGATTATGCTATATTGGATTAGAATTACGATTTATTGAACATCCCAACATTTTAATGTTAATTACAATAGATCTTTCGATAAGTCATTAACGCGTATTATTAAAAGTACAAATTAAATAATATATTTGATTTAGTACAAGTAGCAATTATATTTATTGCCTTTGTAGACATTTTAAGCATATGTCCCATCTGATGGTGAGTGGTTAGCGATGCTATATATTTATGTGTATTTAATTTAAAGATACCGCCTGCGACAAAATAAGACCCGGACCCCGTGGTACAGCGTGGATCACAGAATATAGTGTTTCATGTATGTTAATTTCAATAGACATAGTTTTGCTTTTGCGCCTGTCGTGATGAGAAAGATGTGTCATTGTATGAATGAATATGGAACGGAGCGTCTTCAAACCGCTTAGAGATATTCATCTCATTGCTGAAGTCTATGGGCGACGGTAACCACTCACCATCAGGTAGGCCGTACGCTTGTCTGCATACTAGGGCAATAAAAAAAAATAAAAAATTCTTGGACACGTCGTTCAAGTTATTGGAATAATAAATAATAAATATTACTGAAAAACCATTTTTGACTCATTCAAAATAGTAAGTGTACTAAATTTTCTAAAGAAGAACAATACTAATTATTATTATTATAAACAAAAAATAATTTAATCGCTGGTGGTGGTAGTAGGTACCAACATCCCACTTATTTCTGTCGGGAATTAGTCATGCGTTCCCACTTGAAGGGCGGTGAGCTCTTTAATCCACCTACGCAATAAATAAATAAATAATTTTATTGCAACTGAAAACAAATTTGTCTTCTAAATCCCTTGGTAAGAAAATAGGTATTTTGTACGCGCGCACAATGTTGAAAACGATATCAAATTAATTTTAGCCGACGCCCGTCTCCCAGACAGACAGATTGATTGAGACAACGTTCCAATCGAAATTTACCTGAGATTGAAGATCGGCGAGCGTCGCCTCGTGCTGCTTCAGAGTGGCGGCGAGCTCGTGAACCCGCGTCGCGCTCGTCTCCTTGTTACGTCTGATCACGGCGGCCTGTTGTCTGAATGGAGCCAATTTGTCCTCTTGAGGCCCAGAGGTTGCTAGCTTCCGCTGAACTAATTGCTCCATTTCCCCGTTCACAACAGCGATCTATTATAATATATAAATATTTCAAATTTAAATACAACCACCAGCGGCACCCGTGGCTTCGCTCGTAACCAAATACAATTTGATAATCTCTATATATAAAAATGAATTGCTGTTCGTTAGTCTCGCTAAAACTCGAGAGCGGCTGAACCGATTTGGCTAATTTTGGTCTTGAATTATTTGTGGAAGTCTAGATAAGGTTTAAAAGGTAGATAAATATGAAAATGCTTGGAATCTAATAAAAATAACAATTTTGTTTTTCCTTTGATGTTCCCTCCCGTCGGACCGATTCGTTTTATTTGTTTTAAGTTTATTTTATACAAAAGTTTAGATCTTTTATTTATCGATTGAGGCAATACGAAGTTTTCCGGGTCAGCTAGTAAAACATAAAAGCTATAAGACGACTCAGAAAGGTAACTACGTAAGATAGGGTAGGTAGGCAGCGACTTGGCTCTACTCCTGGCATTGCTGAAGTCCATGGGGACGGTAACCACTCACCATCAGACAAGCCGTATGCTCTTTTCCCTACAGGGTCAATAAAAATAAATAAATAAAAGATATTTTTAGGTGAACAAACATATACATACATATGTATAAATACATACTGACGTACAATCTCATATATATATGTAAATGAAGCTCTCTTGGCCCTTCATTATATTTAAATTTCCCGCGCATTAGCTTCGACCATCATAGATAATACTATTATGATTGAATAAATGAAGGGCCAAGAGAGTTTCATGTAAATATATGTAAAGACACTACATTCCTTTATAGTATATTTTTACAGCGCTCTATAGCTCCTATGTAATCATATAGATGGCCCTGTCGATAATGGTGACATGCATTGATATTGAAGGATTGACGTCTGCCATGTTCGGGCTTATTGTTACTAAATCAAATTGGATAATCATTATAAGGAATTGAGAGTGGTGGACTTTGAATGTCGTTTCTTTGTTTTCAGGTGAGATACCTATTATAGGTCCACAATGTGATTGTACTATTTGTTACTGTTGTGTAAGTTTTAAGTTATTAAAATAATAAAACCTTTGTTTTCAGAACAACGTCATGTTTATTTCAACTTACAATTCCTATTTATAATTCCTAGTAAATTAAATAGAAAAAGTGTTATCTATACTAATATTATAAAGAGGAAATATTTGTTTGTTTGTTTGTATTAAATAGGCTCCGAAACTACTGAACCGATTTGAAAAATTCCTTCACTGTTTGGAAGCTACACTATCCCCGAGTGACATACGCTATATTCTTTTTTTTTTTAAATAGGGATCCTTGCTAAAGCTCCATTAATGTAACCCAAGATTATTCAAAACTATCTTTATAATTTTCTTTTTTAGTAAGCTGACGCAAATAGAAGGGTTGATGTGTGTGTATTTATGATTGTTAATTTGGATTTTTTTATTAAAGACCCGAGCGAAGCTGGAGCGGTCCGCTAGTATATTATATATATGTTGATTTTTATATGAATTCGAAATGTGGTTCCAACGATAAAAATCCCTGCCACCAGCGCCGCCTGTCCGACACTAACGTAACAATGTTCGTCGGAGTGAACATGTCGCCCTTTTATGTATGTGTGCAAAGTTTCATATAAATTGGACTAACTAATCTCGAGTTTTAGGTGAACTTACATACATTCTCTTTTGTATAAATAGACTAGCTGACCCGGCAGACTTCGTAGTGCCTCAATCGATAAACAAAAGACCTAAACTTTTGTACAAAATAAACTTAAAACATACAAAAGGAATCCGTCCGACGGGGGACATATCAAAGGAAAAACCAAATTGTTATTTTTATTTAATTCCGAGCATTTTCATATTTATTCACCTTTTAAACCTTCCCTGGACTTCCACAAATAATTCAAGACCAAAATTAGTCAAATCGGTCCAGCCGTTCTCGAGTTTTAGCGAGACTAACGAACAGCAATACTTCTCGAAGCGTTTTTGGATTGTTGCTTGAATTCTACTGTCTAAAATATTGATATAAATAAATTTTAACCGATAGTATTTAGTAAATTACAATTATATAATAATAATTTACATTACATTAAGCAAAATCTCGTACAATCAAGTTCAATAGTTATGTAGGTATCTACTTACACATGTATGAACAAACAATATCTACGCTCCACTCTGGGTACCCTAATTTACTCTCAATGTAAATAACCTCATACGGAAAATTCATAACTTCGAAGCAATTACTGAGCAAATTCAATATTAACTTATAACCAAATAAAATGTTGTTTTATTTTGCGTAGGTTCAAATTTGACGTTTTAAAATTAAAATCATTTTATTATTTACTGCTTTCAAAAGCAGATTACTGGTGGTAGGACCTCTTGGGAGTCCGCACGGGTAGGTACCACCACCCCGCCTATTTCCGCCGTGAAGCAGTAATGCGTTTCGGTTCGAAGGGTGGGGTAGCCGTTGTAACTATACTGAGACCTTAGAACTTATATCTCGAGGTGGGTGGCGCATTTACTTTGTAGATGTCTATGGGCTCCAGTAACCACTTAACATCAGGTGGGCTGTGAGCTCGTCCATCCAGCTAAGCAATAAAAAAAAAAAAAAGACGAATTTACAGTCCGCCTTATCGTAAATTAGTAATAATACACGTAATCACTACATAGTATAAAACAAAGTCGCTTTCTCTGTCCCTATGTCACTATGTATTAAATTTTTAAAACTACGCAACGGATTTTGATGCGGTTTTAATAGATAGAGTGATTGAAGAGGAAGGTTTATATGTATAATAACATCCATTAAATAGTGGAGAAATCAATAATAAATAACAGTTTCCGAAGCGAAGCGAGGGCGGGTCGCTAGTAAGTAATAATACAGACAAGTAACTGTCTATTATTAATAAAGGACCTCGTTAATTCTAGAACTTGACGGTGTGAAGCATCTAAAAACTCACTGTAAATAAAAGCAGTGGATTCAGTATAAAGAAGGGTCAATACTTGTTGCGGTAAGGGGGAACAGTAAAAGTAAAATTCATTGAACGAGAATACTTCCGTTCCGGTTTTAAAAGTGGCACGGCACAGCCTTTATGTGTAAAGGCAGTGAGATAGATATATAAATAAATAAAACTCAGTTCGGTTGCAACACGTAACTGTGATGAAAGTAAGTTTTTTAAATATAAACGAACTATAGATAAATATAAATAAAACCTTATCTTGAACCACATGTAGATCCGATCGACTAGGATGTTGCTCGGCGGCGATGTTTTGCATAATGTTCAATTCCTTCTGTATGTGAGCTGCCTCTTGTGGTAATTTTTCTTTCACCAAATAACTGTTCAACTTAAAAATGAAAATAAAAAGTTATCGTATAATTCTATGTAAATTGTGGCTAAAAAAGGTTGAGATTTGTTTACATTTTAATTGAAAACGAAATCATTTAGAGCCCAAGTAAAATAAAGGTTCCTAGTCTAATTTAACACATTTAGCCACTGACAACATCATAATATGTTGTAATTGGTGTTTAAATTGGTATGAAAGTCTTTACTGTTTTTTTTAATTTTAATCCGGATGCCTATTATAAAAGCCGCAATCCGTATATCAACAAATATAGAAAAATTGTTAGGTAATCTCTCTTTCTGTCTTGGGTCTCTAGGTTGGCACCGAGCGGCCCAAACCGGTAAAGTAAATTCTCTAAATAAATAGTATATGTAGTAAATAAGGTATACCTACATATAAATGATGAAACGATATTTTAAACGATTAAATATAAAGAGAATACAGGTTCCCGCATACAAACGAACAATCGATTCATCAAATTAATGACAACGCTACCTTTAAACCATATCGCATTATTACAGTAGGATCAACCTGCACGACTGGACAAACATAGTCTGTTCCAAACCAGTGATTACGTAAATCTAGAAATTAAATCCTGAATATTGATTAGTACATAATCTGGAAGCATTTATACCAACTCTAATATAGTATCCCAGCATAATCACAGGACTACGAATACATAAGATGATAATGTTATATCGGGTGTATTAACAATGAAATGACTATGATATTATTATATTAAAATAAAATATATACTTGTATTTCCTCTTGTAAATGCTTAATGATATCCGTAGGGGTTTTCGTAGCAGCGCTTTGACCATGAATTACATTTAAATATCGTTTTAGCTGATCAGAAGCTAAATTCAATTGAGACTGTTGAGTATCAAACTGAAAATAACCAATAATTTTGTCACGTTTTCATTAAAAATGAATGAAATTTTCATTATTTTCCTCTACTGCTACATAGTTACCTGAAGCTCTAATTGTTTTGCTTTTTCTTGTTGAAGTCGTAACGTTTTGCTTAAATTCAATAACTCATCTTTATTATGAACATCTACCAAATTAACCTGCACACTTTCTAATCTCTTTATAACTAAAAAAAAAAAAAAAAGTTACAGGAATTAGTCAATATACAATATCAAAACTCATTGCTTGTTATAAATAAAAGCATTGCTACTAATTCTGGATAAAGATTAATCATTATTAACTAAAATTACATACCAACATTTTTTTTTTCGATAAATTTTAAAATTAATAATGACCAAATTGAATTACGGATACCATTATTTTTGAAAAATAATAACTGTCGTAATTACGTTATCTAACAAAATGTGTGTGAAATATTTATATATCAAAAATTTTGTGTATCACTGGCGTTCTCGACTCTAGATTTAGGTATAGGATATGTCATTAGATATATAGATCCTTACCCATGTCTCTCTCGACCGCCATCTCTTTGATATCATTAATGATTTCAGAAGCGTTCTCCTTTTCCAACATTCTTGTTCTTTTGTGAGCGTCTTTGAACTCGTCGATCAAACTTTGATATTGATCCAGCAGGTCTTGTATCGTATTGTTACGAACTACGTCAGAAGGTATATCTGGTATTTTGAGATACCTAAAATTGTCTTGTTTTTTTTTTAATGATTAACCGTGAAAAATCTAACGCAAATCTGCCTTTTCTTAAATAAGGATGAACTTGTGCTCGTGTGCATAATATAATATTAATATTTTTATAGGAGAGAGAACCTGAGCACCCAACAATAAATATTTCAGGTCGCGTAGTGGAACAATCCGGATACACTAATTTACCCCAAATACGTTTTCAAAATATTCACATTATTATCAAGTCTGACGATTTAAAAATAATGATATAAAGTTAAAATGAGAACAGAAATGAATTACATGATTGTCGTAACCAACAAAGGTGAACCTGATACTGTTATTATCTTGGCTTGAAAGGATTTTTAATTGACTATATTTAATTAATTGTTACATTATTAGTTTTTTTAGAAATCAAAAGTTAGCTGACATACATTAGTTTCAAAAGAAAGTTCCCATTACACATACCAAATAAACGCAATAATCCGGTTGGATATAGGGTACAAGTATATTTTTAAATATCTTACCTTTTATACCAAATTCCAACGTACTGTTTAAGATTACTAATTGAAATTAATTCAACCATTTATCAAGAGACAACAGTTTTAATTAATACGATTTAGAAACATGAAAATCCTAGTTTCTTATTCCATTCAGTCTTCCAGATTAGACCTCTAAGACTGGAATTTAAAGTAAATAAAAAAACTCACAAATGCTCCAAATAATGGTAGGCAGCGGCTTGGCTCTGCCCCTGGCATGGCTGACGTCCAAGAGCGACGGTGACCACTTACCATCAAGTGGGCCGTATGCTCGTCTGCATACAAAGGCAATAAAAAAAATACGCCATATAACTATTTGACCTTACTTTGCGAGATATGCTGTGTTTTTAACTTGTTCCTTATTCGACAAGAGCCAGTGTAAAACATGATGAATAGTTCTGGAATCGCCGGCGAGAAGTTGGGACCTAAACCGCGTTGGCTCTACAGTGCTCGGCGGCCGATATTTCACGCTGCCTAGCATTTCTAGAAGACGAAATGATACCGTTTCAGAGTCGTCTTCATTGACGTCCAACTGTAAAATTTTAATTCAATATTTATTTATTATTCCGTGCTTAAAGGCTGCGGTAACTACGTAAGCTTCTGCTTTGTATTATTTTTTTTATCTTAAAAAAAAATAACGCACTAAAAGTAGTTTGAAGTCGTCGTGGCCTAAAGAATAAGACATTTCTGCCGTAAAGCAGAAATGCGTTTCGGTTTGAAGGGCGGGGCAGCCGTTGTAACTATACTGAGACCTTAGAACTTATATCTCAAGGTGGGTGGCGCATTTATGTTGTAGATGTCTATGGGCTCCAGTAACCTTTTAACACCAGGTGGGCTGTGAGCTCGTCCACCCATCTAAGCAATAAAAAAAAAACATCTCACTAGTAGGATTATTTTGTCATGATTTTGTGTGAAATCAGTGGTAGATTTTGCGAACCACTGCTTTTGCTAGAGCTAGTGTTACCAAATTCTTAAAGGTTGAGACCGAGAGCTCACCTACCTGTTCGGGCGTAGCTGAAATAGCCTCTTAGGCTACCAGCGAATAGGTAGGGAAAGGTAAGGAAAAGTGTACTTACCTAAGAAATAGGTTTTCTTTTACTAATTGTGCAAACAAGTATGTACCATAATAAATATACCTTTTCACCAGCTCCTAAATTGACAAGCAAATCAACTAGCAACTGAAGTAATTGCTTCTCATCGAGGGCATCAAATTGTATCAAATAGTAGTTCCTCCCTAAAGTTGAATTAATTTCTTTAACTATAAACTTAATTTGCTCCGTCATTTTCTACAAGCCCCTTGAACGTCTTATTAGAATTCAGCAAAAGACGTGTTGCCTTTACAGAAATAATGGTTTACATTTGTTGTTATAAACTGTCGTCATGGTAACATTGATTTAGAGAACAGCATAGATAATAAACTTATTATTTAAAAAGAAATAAGTACAAACGTTACGCTATGGAAAAGGTAAGTAAAATGTTCACTGTGTACCTGTCTAACTCTTTATATAGACATACGAAAACATGGTACAACTAGTGTTGGATGGTTATAGAAGACATCGTAACATCGCCGCTGGTACTCACCTTAGAACATAAAGTCGAATACTCAATTACATAACAACTGCAAAGCCGCAAATATTCATTGGAACCGTTTTGTGTCTGCCCTATCTGATACCATTCGTATCTGCCATAAATACTAATGTGTTTCGGTTTATAGTTGTTTAACGGTAATTCCTGAGGGCAGAAAGGTTTTCGGCAATCTTATTCTAGATGCGGCAGTATGATGCCCAACGCCTAGTCTTAGACGCCGATGAATGTTAGTACTCTGTGAGTTTTATAACCAAAAAACATGAGCAACTGAAAGCAGCGCTCACCAAGCATACTCTTAACCCAGAAAATTTGCAAAATAATCAATACATGTAATGTAATTGAAACTTAGAGATATTCTAAAGTATGGCGAACGTTTTCCTTGGGCTCTGATAGCTGTATCACACAAGTTGAGTCATCAACACGTTTTGAATATTGCTAGCTCTCTGCCCGGTGCCTCTGCTGCACGGAATTCATATATAGGTAGAGGATGACCCGTGTTCAGTAGTGGGATGAATGGGGTAGAGTAGAGATCCTTTATTCCTTCCCGCGCTCTAAAACATTTGGCCATAATCGTTTCAGTGGTAGGGGATTTTGAGTGAAAATGTAACATATACTTTGGTATTAAAAGTATTATACGCTATACCATATAACAGTAATGTTATAAATTACTAAAACTTTTTTTAATCATCCGCTTTTAAGGGAGCCCAACCTATATTAGGTATGTAGCCAATTAATCTCAAACTGTTAAAAATATATGAAAAGGTTTAGCAGTTTTGGAGAAAAGCGTTAACGAACAAACAGATCGACAGATAGAAAATAATTCTAGAAAAGTGACAGCTTTGTTTTTTTTACTTTTTTCAATGTACAGACAAAGCGGAATGTACTCTTCTATTGTATTTATATTTATTAAAACCTGTATCGCCAAATATACAAAAATAATTAATTAAAACAATTAATTGAAGATTTTTTGTCTTTTTTTTAAACAGATTTCACTTTCCATTTATTATTTAGTAAAAAATTTAGCGAGCCTGAACAAGTAACTCGTCGTCATATATCTCATTTTAATTAAAACGAGACAAACAGACTTGTTCATTCCGAAAGGATTGCAATAACACAAACTTCATTTGGATAATTATATTTCTTTTTTGTTACAATCATTTATCATTGTGTTGTAATCGTCAGAATCTTAACAATTTTCGCTTACATTATAATGAAATTTGTGCCTACTTCAATTATGTTAATCACTCATCTGATATAATGTAATATGCATTATCATATGCTACCACCTCACAGCCTTTACCATTTTACCGAAAACTTAGTGATTGTGATTCGTTTGTGATTTATGTCATGACTGCAAAAAAATAATCACCATATTAGTTAGTATTTAAACTAACGAAACTCCACTGGCGCGATGGCGTTTTATAACTATCTAGCACCGATTTTAGTAACCTAAATAAGTCGCAATTAAAACAAATCAACTGGTCGCGTGTGGCAAAACGTAGTGCAAGTTCTCAATCATTTGCAATAATTCTTCTTCGAGCTGCCTAGCACCCGACTATATGCGGCCTCTTGCAGTAAGAGTTTATTTCCAAATAAAGTTAAATCTAAATATAAATAAAGTGTTAAAATTGACACAAAAAAAAGAAATACTTTGCACTAACGTTTTCCATAACAAAAAATAGCACTATTTCAGCAGTATTAGGATTCAATATTAAATTAAATTTCCTATTTATAACTACGGTACGCACCAATTAACCTCTAAATTGTAATTATTGAATCAAATGACAATTTATAAAATTATGAAAATCGATATTGATTCTAATGTCACTAATATTGATCATAATAAACATATTAATTTGTACTCTTCTAAATTAATGGAAATTCAATTATATACAATGACACAATACAAAACTATTACTAAACAAGTAATCATATCAATCATATGCACGACAGACAACATTCAAGCTAAAATGAGATTTGGAATTTAAAAAATGATAACTAAATTTAAATAAAGCATCTTCACTACGGTTAAGTCTCACTATTTACCTATAATTATATAATTATTACAACCCTTACGATACTACAGACTTTTCGGTGACGGAATTGTTTCCGATAATTTACAAAACACCGTCAATAGATTGATTATAAACATATTATAAGAAAATATTGTGATGTTACAAAACTACTTCGAACGTATTATTTCGTACATAAATATGTCTTGAATTTATAGAGAAATTGTTCGTCGCCGTGATTGTAATGGACGCACAAGTTAACGAGATAGTCCACTTTTGCTTAAATGAATGAGGCGTGGGAATGTTTAAACTAGAGCTACATACGTCCGCTACGAAACAAACACAATCGCGGTGCAACACTTCGTCTTGCTCACTCTGCCATCGGTCATTTATAAATGCAGGAAGCGACGAGATGACCGAACGTAATATAAATAAATAAAAAATTGTCAAAATAATCTAAAATTTGAGAAACCTAAACAATAAATACACAAAATCAAAACATAAAAATTGCAGCATCCTCTACTGTAACGGCCGATGAAAAACAACAAATCGACAATAGTTGGACAGTTAGTTAACATTCACAAAAACTAATCGAATTATTTCTTAAAAGCTCTTCGATCAAGGAAGAATGTCTAACGATATCAAACAAACGCTAAGTTTCCAAATTAACTTCACAGGAGTCCACCTTTTCTACCAAAAAGCATACTGAATGTGCCGAGCGGTGAGGCATGCGCGGGTGGTGCCGGGCCCCCCAGCGGCCCCCCCACCGTGCCTAGATCTGAGCGGGGGCGGGGGGCGCGCGCACGCGGTCGCCGGCCGCGGTTTGGAGCGCTCAGCTCTAGCGCCCCCGACCCTGGTGTTGCTGGCACTCCTAACGGCGTTTCACTGTTCTCCCCGCGTTCCTGGGGAGGGGCGGCCGGGGATCGCAACGTTCGTTTCAAGCACGTCAGTTGTTCCATCGGACTGCGATGTACAAGCCCCGTGTATAATGAACCCGGCGTCTGCAGGGCGAGCGGCGCTGGCGAACCTTCGGAGTTAGGTGAGGTTCCGGCGAGGTATCTGCGCCGCAGTATAGACGTGCCGCTCGCAATGAGCGAGTGCAAAGAGGGAGGCGCGTCACCGGGGCGAGGTGTGGGTGGCGGGGAGGAGTCTGGCGAACCCAGTAGAGGGCTGTTGGCGGGGGTGGCGGTCGGCGTGAAGTGCGGCCGCGAGGGTGGCAGACAGACTGATTCTCGCCTGGAGTGCACTGGGGAGACGGCGGCGGAGGAGCGGCGCGAGGTGAGCCGCGAGCTCCACGCGGTGCCGAGTACACTGCTGGAGAGACTGCTCATCCCGCTACTGCACACGCTGCTCACGCTGCTGCCCGCGAGACTGCCGTCGTTGGGATGTAGCACGGTGCTGTCGAAGCACACGGAGCTTTAGCAACGGAATAACTCGAGTGAGTTGTTAGTTACATTATGAAACGCAATCCTGAAAAATCTCTGAGATTCGTGAGAACGGGCTTACCTGTTTGTGAAGGTGTATATGTGGCTGGAGTGCGGCAATCGTAGCATGTCGTCATCTTCTTCGACGTCAGACAATCGATACAACCGTAAGCCCATGCCTGGTGCTGTCCTGGATCCTCTCACTCCGACACCCTCTTGTTCTTCCAGTAAGCCTTTTAAAAAGATTTTTTAATAGATAATTATTTATAACTTTAAGAACCAACAATATAATATTAGAACGAATTTTCATACCTGACATATTCGGTTTAGCGAGTTGCGCCCAGGTATGGAGGGTTAAGGAACCTTCGAGAGGTTTGACGATCTGAAGTTTGTGCGGTGTTCGGAACCGAACCATGCCGCCGGCAGCCCCGGCTCCCCATACAGCACTTTCTACGCTCGAATCTCTCTCTGTTGATTAAAAAATATTTTTGTGAATAAACTTTAAATATATAAGTAATTTATTTTTATGAATAAACTTTAAATATATAAGTAATTTTCTTTCATAATAGAGTATTAAATTCGTCCTAACTAGTACATCTTATTCATGACTACGATACTTCTCATTAACCCTAGAACTAAAAGCTGGGGTAGTGAACCTATCCATACCTACCTATATCATACATAAATAGACCTATACCATAATTTATCATAGTTCAATGTTCTGACATTGTGACGAACCCGCCAGTTCTTTTTTTTATTGTGTGTTATTGTGTTGTGTGTTATTTGTTTTAGTGCGGCTCAGTCAAGAAGTGTGTGATCATGATATTTACCCCAGTTTGTAGTGCCCATTAATGTTAGTGTCTTGTGTTGGTAAGTTATGTCCTTTTCTCGCTATAATAAATTGTATTCACGTATTATACACCTTATTTACAATACAATACAATTAAATATTACACAGATCATGTTTATGAGATGAATTCATATTTTTATACACTGGGAATATAAAAAAAAAATTATATGAATTCCATATACTTTTTTGCAGATAATGGCGACAAGATACAATTTGAGAAGCGCCGATTTACTGGCGAAAACTTTGAGGGAATCCGAGACTGCCAAATAATTAAAAATCCCTGCTAATAAAGTTGATATTATAATTTAGAGAGAATGAGCGAATCGGAAGAAGATACCGCTGCCGATTTTTCAATTTTCAAGGTCACAAATAGATTTTTTGGCACAAAATCATTGTTTTATTTTTTTAAAAGCCCCTATATATCCTCTTTAAAATTCCAGTAAAATTTTGAAAATCGGTTGTTAAACTATATATTCACAAATAATTATCGGTTAAATGGTGCTTTGGCCGTTTTTCAGCACTTTTAGCTGTTCATATCGAATTTTCGCCATATAGACCTTGATAAAATTAAATTCACTCTTCACTACAGCATTAAAAAAAATCAAGTACTTAAAAGTAAAATGTCTGCTTGCTGTCAGAACGGCTTTATTAGCAAAAAAACCCGTAGTATTAATATTTACCCCAGTTTGTAGTTAACAGGTAAACAAAAATGGGTTGGTAATATCAGGGTTAAGATTATTATTACAAAAAAAATATATATATAAGTTCAAGGTTTTGTGTATTTAAATCGTTTAAATTTAACTTTTGGGAGTTTCGTGAATGACGAGCCATAATTCTTAACAGGTGTATCAAATAAAAGTGATATACGCAAATGACCTCCATGACGTCGCAGAGGTCGCGCGTGTGAGGCGGTGAGCGAGGCTCGTCGCGAGTCGATCTCCTGCGGCGTGAGTCGGCGCAGCGCCGCCGCCAGCTCGGCCGCGCCTGGCGCCCCCGGCACCCCTACCGCCGTGTCGCCGCTGGAAAATTAATATTAAACTTTTTTTATTTAAATAAAAGGATATACGGACTCACTCAGAAAGAATGCCTAGTTAAATAGTTGTGTGATAACCAGTGGTCAGAGTAGGTAGATTGATTTTATATACTTGTGTCAAGATATTATAATATGGACATGTCATTTTAACCATAATGATTATTTTTTTAAATAGAAAAAAAAAATTTTTTTTCCTGCCTAGGCTGGTAGCCTTAGGGGCTATTTCAGCGTAACCGTGGCTAGTAGGTGAGCTCACGGGGCTCAAACCTAATGACGATGCTAACACGAACCCTAGCAAGAGCCGTGCTTCGCAGAATCTACCACCGGATCGGAAACGCGACCCACTGAGAAGATCCGGCGAGAAACTCAGTGGGCTGTGTCTAAGAGTTAATTTACTCGTCGAGCCCTTCGTCGCAAGCGACGGGTTCGACGAGAACGGTGACCGGTGCTTGGAGTACCTAAAAGCACCGTTAGTGGATCGGGAGGATCCGAGATGACGTGTTTTGGGCGAAGTCGACTGCTTTCCATTCTGTCCGCAGGATCGGGAATGGGAAAATATACGGTGTAACTATTCCAAGGTGTTTTTGTATAAAATAAAATACTGATATCTTTCACCATTAGCTAGCACTGGTAGCGTAGATTAATATTATTAATACGTTTTTTACCTTAAGCACAGATTCATGCTAATTTCAAAATTCCGGAACAAATATCACAATAAATATGAAGTTCCGGTATTTTGGAGGCATATCCATATTATCCTCTACGTTTGACGTCAACGACCTTAAATCAATCTACCTACTCCGACCTCTAGTAATAACTCAAAGTAAAAAATGTAGAATTTTGTACATTACTGTATTTTTAGTTCTGTAGAAAACAGCCAGTCTGACCGAAGGTTCAGTGGGGTATTCGGATGACAAGAAAGAGATTTGTATTAAATTCGTTTTTATTTCTTGCAGCTCAAGGATTGGAGCCCTATCAAGATAAATTTCATGTAATAAAATCGGCTGATTGTATGCTAGCATTGTTTATACTCAGTATCTTTTTTTTAACACAAGAATGTTACGCCACGAAATATAGTGTTCAAGGCCTCTTGAATTTTGAATATTACTTCTGTACAAACATTTTTAGATAAATCGGTCAAGCCTTTCTATACTGCACGATAGACCAACAAACAACATTTAACTTTTCTTATTGTTTTGATGGTAGGTAAAGCTCACGACCCTCCTGGTCTTAAGTTATTACGGCCCTATACGATTGATTGAGTCTAAATCTAAGTTCTAAGTCTCAGTTATACGGAACCGAAACGCATTACTGTTTCACTGCAGAAATAGATAGGATGATGGTACGAGCTCACAAGACGCCGTACCACCAGTAATTAAAAAAAAAACTGCAGGTTTTATTTTTATTACACGGTTTTATTACTACACCGTGGGACTCATTCGCGAACTTTAGTCAACTGCGTATTTCCTTAGGAAAAATGGTACCTGTCTTCTGGATTCGAACACCGGCACAGTCGCATTGCTCGATGCGAATGCACCGGTCCTCTTATCGGTTAGGTCATGACTTTATTTAAATTTATAGATAACGAACTTGGTGGTAGGACCTCTTGTGAGTTCGCACGGGTAGGTACCACCACCCTGCCTATTTCTGCCGAGAAGCAATGATGCGTTTCGGTTTGAAGGGTGTGGCAGCCGTTGTAGCTATACTTGAGACCTTAGAACTTATATCTCCAGGTGGATGGCGCATTTACGTTATAGATGTCTATGGGCTCCAGTAACCCCTTAACACCAGGTGGGCTGTGAGCTCGTCCACCCATCTAAGCAATAAAAAAAAACTTACGGATATAAATCTTCGGATTCCGTATCGGAGGTTTCGTCGAGGAAAGAGTCGTGTGAGGGCGGCTTGTTCTTGAAGAAGGGAGGGCGGGGCGCGTCCGCCACGTCGGAGCCGGGCAGCGACGCGTTGGACGCGCCCGACCACCGCGACGCGCACTGCACCGTTTCAAACACTTTCTGCATACTTGAACTGGAAATTTCAATAATACCACTTAATTGGTGATTATTTGTACAGACGATCATTTAGATTTGCGATTTGATAGTCGACCGTGGTGAAAATTTATTGGATGTGATTTGAATAAAAACATTACCAGATAATCATATATTTTTAATTGCTTTCATTGTTAAAAAAGTGTTATTCTTGTTGCTATTTTTAATATAAAATATTCATTTCTACTATCAAGAAAGACTTTTTGAAAATTACTATATGTGTAATAGCAAATACCATTAAGCTGAAGTTAATAGTAAGTATTCCTAACCCAAGCAGAAAGAAGATAGGAAACCAATATATAGTTGCAATATAAATATCCACAGTTATTTGACACCTACCCTCATTATCAAACTCGAACTACTCATTTTTAATACAACCACTACTTTGTACAGTAAATACCTATTGAAAAAGAAACTAGGGACAATACTAACTGTGCAAGTGGATCGCCAATACCGGAATCGAGGCTGAGTTCCGAGTAGACGGAGGAGTGCATCTCGCGGTGCAGCGTGGGGGGCAGCAGTCCGGCGGCGGCCGCCACGCTTGGCATGAGGCCGCGCGCGCCCTCCCCGCGCCGCCGCAGCGCCCGCAGCTGCTCCTGCGCCTCCGCCAGATGCGCTGCCACTTCCGCATATCGCTCCTGTATCATGCCGAATGGTAAACCGTCGACGTCGCCCAAAGCACGTCATTACGGATCCACCTGATCCATTAACGGTGCTTTTAGGTACCACAAGCACCGGTCACCGTCCTCGTCGAACCCGCGGCTTACGACGAAGCGCTCGACGTGCGAATTAACCCATAGACACAGCCCACTGAGTTTCTCGTCGGATTTCTCAGTGGGTCGCGTTTCCGATCCGGTCGTAGATTCTGCCGAAGCACTGCTCTTGCTAGGGCCAGTGTTAGCAACACCTCCGGTTTGAGCCTCGATAGCTCACCTACACGCTAGGGTAACGCTGAAATAGCATCTCAAGGCTTTAGCTTCAGCAAAGTTTTAAATGGTAACCGTAGCCCATAGATATCTGCAATGTAAATGCCGACACACGCCTTGAGATATGAGTTCTAATATCTCAGTTTTACAGTACAACGGCTGATATACTCTTCGAACCGAAACACATTACTGCTTCACGGGGCAGAAATAGACAGGCTGGTGGTACCTACCCGTGCGGACTCACAAGACGTCCTACCACCAGTAACGTTTCTAATTCAACACCTCCGAACGCTAGTCTCCTATATTAAAGGCCTTGAAAACATCACTACTAATAGTATTCGGTGTGAGTGTGTCTATATAAATTAAAACGAAGATACGTTTGCACGATATGCATTCCGAAACCACTAGTTGATTTGTGATGAAACTTAGCACAGTTGTCATTGGCACTCCTACTACAGGCGACCTGAGAATTATTGATGGTGAAATCGGGACCGAGTTTCACGAATCTTTAATAATGATAATGAATGTAAGCCAAACTATGTTGTGTAGGTAGTTAGGGTGATCAATTAGTAATCGGAGGAGGCGCTTTAATGTACTATCTGTTTGGACATGCAAGCTCGTGGTTCGCCGTAACGCGAAACCGCCGCCCACTTTGACTAATGTGGTTGAAGCCTTAATTGTAAACACGGCTACGACACACAAACTGCGTACTGTTAAATCAATCAATTACATCACTGATATTCTAATTTCATAGGGAAAAGAAAGATATTCGTATTCCGCGAAATAATGCAACAATTTTCTTTTACACATGCAAATAACGACACTTATTGATCATCATTGGAGATGTGTACAACTTATATAGAAACAAGACATGTCTATACTAATATTATAAAGAGGAAACATTTGTTTGTTTGTTTGTTTCGAATAGGCTCCGAAACTACTGGACCGATTTGAAAAATTCTTTTACCATTAGAAGCCGACATTGTCCCTGATGAACATAGGCTACTTTTTTTTATTTTATTTTTTTTTTTTTTTTTTTTTGGTTTCATGTGTGTTTTAATGTTTCCGAAGCGAAGCGAGGGCGGGTCGCTAGTAGTTTATAATTTAATAACCTCTAGATACCAGTTCATCTCTTCAACGCAAATTGAGCACGATAGACTAATAAATTGTAAATTCACTTTTTTTTATTGCTTAGATGGGTGGGCGAGCTCACAGCCCACCTGGTGTTAAGTGGTTACTGGAGTCCATAGACATCTATCTACAACGTAAATGCCGAACGTAAAGTGAAACGCATTATTGCTTCACGGCAGAAATAGGCGGGGTGGTGGTACCTACCCGCGCGGGCTCACATGAGGTCCTACCACCAGTAAGAAAGAATAGTGTAATAAAAACTGTATATATTTCACTAAGTTCTTTATTGGATTACTACCAGCGTTACAGAATGTGGTGATTGATAGCTTGTATTTCAGAAGAACTTGTGAAAGCACTATGAGGAATTTTTCGAGGTGATACCTCATCTCCTATTTACTATCGCACCGCCTCCACGGGAGTTGAGTTCACCCATTCTACCTACACGAAACCACAGTGTTCTTCCGGTGAATTTTCAGAGGATTTTCTTCTACGTCCCGACCCATCCAGCTTTGAACTCACCATCCTACACGATGTTTCCCGACCCCTTTGGCATATCCTTATTAAAATAAAATTTGATGGGAGTCCTCAGCAGTAGGCAGCGGCTTGATTGTAAGCCGCACGCATCAGACTACGTACCATCGGATGGGTCGTATAGTATCTGTCTACAATCGCGATAAAAAAAAAGCTTACGAACGGTTGAGTTATCGCTAGCGTACGTGGTATGACAGAACAACTTGAACTCATGCCTCACGGACCCATTACAATACGTCGTCTCACATTAAATAAATACATAATAGTAACTTATTGTTATTTTTACCTTCTTTACTTACAACTATTCTTTATATATCGAGGGGTGAAAGCCTGTTTGGTTTAAACGACATTCCGCTTAATACGCGACATTTATCTTTGTAATTAAAGGTGCATTTTATTTGGTATTGTCATCAACAGTTCGATGTTTTTAATTCAGCTTCATTTAAGTATACTCCATTCAAATAGCTGAAGTTTTTATGTTATGATATTGTTTCCAAATTTAAAAAATGAAATGGCTCTCCTGTAAAGTTCCAAAAATGTCGCTTAACCCGAATAGCCTTTCACCCTTCGATAAGCATGTAGTTTATTAAATTGTACCTTAACATCGGCCAGTTCCGCTGCGAGTGCATTCTGATTCTCCTTTGTTATTTCTAATATTCGCAGCGTGTGCTCATGTTCTGTCGTTAGCTGTAAACGAACAACAAAATCTTGTGTTCAATAAAACGATCGAACGTTTGCCATTGTGCTAACACGTAAACTTCCGTAGTTACACTTCTTTGAATCGACTTAAAGAAGCCGTTTCGGTGTCGTGAAGCCAATCCTGTTTAATGCGCCTCGTTAATCGCTGTAAATTTTAATTCTAACAGAGCACGCAGACATTCGACCGTCTGTCATATAAAAAAATTGTATTACAAGAAAGAAATGTACTTGCTTTAATGATCGAAGTACGATGACGTATGACGTCACGGCATCCGGACAAAACATTAAGACTTGTGTCTATTTACCTTATTATTATTTTTCCTACCTAAGCTGAGAGCCTTGAGAGGCTATTTCAACGTAACCTTAACTAGTAGGTGAACTCACGGGGCTCAAACCTGACGACGTTGCTAACACGAACCCTAGCAAGAGCCGTGCTTCGCAGAATCTACCACCGGATCGGAAACGCGACCCACTGAGAAGATCCGGCGAGAAACTCAGTGAGTTGTGTCTGAGGGTTAATTCGCTCGTCGAGCCCTTCGTCGCAGCGACGGGTTCGACGAGGACGGTGACCGGTGCTTGTGGTACCTAAAAGCACCGCTAACGGATCAGGAATACTTGCTTAACAACCGAAGAACGATGACGTATGACGTCACGGCGTCCGGACAAAACATTGAAGACTTGTGTCTATTTACCTGTTTAAAGTCTCTTTCGTTGAAGGCGAGCCTCGATCGAGTGCTGTCCAGCTGCTGTTGAAGATCGACGGAGCGTTGCCTCTCTTCGAGCAGCTCGGTTTCCAACGCGCTGGCCTCAGAATTCGCACTTGCTATCGGAGAAACGCAACCGCTGTAATACTTCGAGACCATTACACGAACGTACGTACGTGCTCGTGTGACACATAACAAAGACAAACTAAAAATATTGCCGCGTTAACAATCTTCCATTAGTCAAAATTTATTTTTAATGCATTAATTAATTAAAAAATCATAATGATTAGGTTTGTGTCACACAAAAACTAGACAAGTAATCGATGTGGCAATTTCCAAGTTTGATCATTTTCGTAACATTTATTCTACATATATTATAAATTATTTTCGACATTTTATTTTGAAGTCAGCAAATATAGAGTTGCCGATACAAAAAAAAATTGCGAATATTTTCCTCAATTTAAGCTTCTTTTTTCAATGCATGCGTGAATGAGCTTACAGTCCGACTGGTGTTAAATGATTACTTGAGTCTGTAAACATCACAGGATGAATATCTCAGCCCTACTTATGAGACGAACGAAGCCGGTATCTCAATCGTTTTGGATCATAAGGGAACGCAACTGCTTGAATTTCGAAAACAGTTAATTTCAATAATATCCCCCGTCATATGTATTTTAAATGCTTCAAATACAATCATCATTAAACAAAACAATATATAAAAATTTGGAACGCAAAGTACTGAATAACATTTGCAGTGCGATAAACGATCTTATTGCTAAGGCGGTTTTCATGTTTCTTGCTTATTCATTACTACTTCATTAAATTCTTCTCTTCGCTTTTCCCGTGACGAAAATAGGTTAGTTAAAACAAGTATGGTCTGACAGGGTGCAAGCTTTGTTGAAAACACTCTGCTAGGCCACCTTGCTTCACCAAACCTTAAATGTTATTTTCCAAGATCACCCAAATAGGTAGGCGCTTCAAATTTTTTAAATAACAGCCAGATTATTATTATTGCAGACGTTATTAATTCACCAGACGGTATGAAAAACGTGTTTAAAAATTATCGAATCACCAATCGATATCGAATAATTTCCATTAAAAAAAAATTACGTCGATAAACTTTAGTGTTTACTCCAGATAAAATACTGATAACATTAACCCAACATAAAGAGTGGATATTATCACTCGAACACACATGTACGAGACATTGAAAGAAACAGTGAAGGCTATTCATAGTTTGGTGACACGTCTCAATTTACGTTTCGTCTGTCTCTCAGAAGGATGCTTAAATTAGATCACTTAGTGCAAGCTTAGAATGTTCTCGAAAACACGATTTCACTATTCCCGCTAATTGAGTTGACAAATTTTGAAAGACGTGACCGGGAATTTCACATCGCAGTCAGCGATGTATGAATAAATATTGTTTTGCAAATTCCTTTTTTTTTTATTTTGGTGCTATGATAATAATATCCATTTCGTCTATCACTGTTATGACCGTAATTCAATATCAGTGGAATGTTAATACAACAATGATAAAGTATATCCCTTATAAAATTGTAACTTTTTGAATTATGTATGAATAAAACAAAATCATGAATCATCCCACACAAGTCTATGAATTCTTTTTCAAATATCGTAAGCAATACGACCACTACTAGTATTTTACGGAATTAATACGCCTTAAAGGAAGCCTGCTGAGTTTCTTGCCGAATCTTCTCAGTGGGGCACGATTCCGATCAGACGGTAGATTCAGCATTGCCCTTGCTAGAGCTAGTGTTGGAAAAATCTCTCAGGTTATGAGTTCGCCTACACATTCGGTGAATCCAGCATAACCCCGTGAGATTAGTAGCCGTGGGTAGGCAAAAAACAGCTTGAAGGATAGCCAGGTTTAAACCAGTGTACTCGCAAATCCACTTTTGATTAAAATTTCGATAATGTACATTATTGTATTAATTACGCTACTCATTCTATATCATTCGATATCAGTCGGAAACTGTACATAAAGTAATTGTGATTCGGAGTTGTATTTATTCTTGTCTGGTAGGTACATACAGGTGTACTACACGCGCACCTGTCCTGGTGAAACTGGAAAGGCCTCCGGGCCACCAGTAATCCTTCAATCATAAAAAAAAAAAACTACACGCGCGAACGTCATTCATATTATTTTGCCTATGATACTAGTCTGTCAATTAAATAAATAAAAAATAATAACAATTCACAAAGCATGGCTATTAAAAAAATGATTATAAAACACCCTAATTTTTTATGACTCACATATTTATGAATACCGATTACGCAACGTGCGTTTGAAGAAACAAAACAATTTGGTACAAGTCCAAGATATAAATAAGTGCGTGAACACTTTACAACAAGAATGCTATTTAATATCAAAACAAAGTCTTGAAATAAACAAACTTATCGTTACGATTACATTTGTTCGATATCGATATATTGACACAACGTTTCAGTACTAAAATAACGATAAGTTAAAACCCCGCATGTACCCAACTTATAATTGAGGCCTATAAAATCAAAGGCAGCTATATCCATGTCTGTCAAATATTCAGGTAAACTACAAAAATCGGCCCTAAACACGTCATTACGGATCCTCCCGATCCATCGAAGTACTGCTTTTGCTAGGGCCAGTGTTAGCAACACTCCCGGTTTGAGAATCTGAAATAACTTTGTTCGTATAGCTATGATATTCTTTATTTTAAAACAGATTTATAAATAATGAGAATATTACTAATAATCTGAATTTTAAATGATAAAACTTCGTTTATTAGTACTTAATACAGAGTAAACTTAATTTTTTTGAACTGAATTTGTTAGAGATTTAGCTGCATTTGTTATAACATGAAAACACTAAAGCATGTTCAACTAACTAAACAAGATAGAGCCATTGTTAATACATTTTAAGACATTATGGCGTTTAGCTGCCTTTGATTTTATAGGCCTCAATTCATCTCTATACAAGACTGCAATAGTTTATTCGCATATAACAGGCAATACGATCTTACGGCCAATGCAGAACGAATAGATACAGGTCGGATCTATTTATACTGTTGATCTAATCTTCAGCTGAACTAGTCTAACATTAGCAACCTATATTTAATTTATCCAGTAAAGATCTAAAGATTTAAATTTACAAGTTCACAATCGAGACTTCGATTTTCGATGGAACGGATTGGGCTTCGTCTTTTAAATCGTTTGCTTCTATTAAAAGCTTGTTACTTAATAACATTTTACCATTTAAGTCTAAACTAGATCTAGTACTATGACTAAATTTTATAATGTAAGGATTGTAAGCTATAGATAAACTAGGCGTTCAAATTCTTATTTTCAATAAATTGTATGGTATAAATGTAATTTTTCAGGTTAAACAGTTCTGATACATATTTTTCTGCTGGTTTTAAATTCAGTTTAGGTATGAAATGTGCATACATTTACAGATTATTTTTAAATTGAATTGTACTTAATCTTTTACGTAATCTGTTTGTCCTAAAAAATCCACGCCGCTTTTTATTAAGATTCTTTATCAAATTATGCAACACAATTACCCATATCACATGGCAACACAACCATTTTATTCGAATGTAAAAAGTATTAAGTTGAAATCGGAAATGTGAAGTTTTTATTTTCTGACAACAAAACGCTGAATAATTTGGTATGTGTACTAAAATACAAGAATCTACATATTAATAATACGTGAAGCAGAAACTTTGTACCCCTTTTTACGAAAATTGCGGGTTCGCAGGAGTATGAAATTGCCCACACTTATAGAGAATACAGAGAGAAGTGCAGAATGTTAATATTTTTTAAATTATGCATACAAATACATTAATTCAATAAAAAATTACACACACTACCGTGTGTTTGACACACACACACGCATGCATATTATTTGTTTATTGTCAAACTTTTCTTATTGCTTAAAGACTCAAGTGGTTGCTCGTGATATTGTTTGTCTTTATTAATATTTATCTAAAGTGTAGTCTTGGTAAAATCTGTGATTATAGAAGACAATAGAATCTTAATACTGTACAGAGTTATAATTTCAATTAATTATAGTCGAATTTTGACTATGTAGCAATAATATGGGACCAATAGTTTAATATAAAAATTAGAGATTGTCTTACTGAGTTGTTGCACGATGTCACGCAGCAGCTGTCTCTCGGCAAGCTCGGCGGAGTCGGCGCCGGCCGCGAGGCGCGCCGCCTCATCGCGCAGGGCGCGGTTCTCCCGCTCCAGTGCGCCGGTCCGACGTCGCAACGCAGCCGCACTCGCCTCCTCCTGCTCCGTAGGGGACCCCTCTTCTGTGTCATTTGTTAGCACCTACAAATTTAAGGATGCGTGTTCAACGTTGCACTTTTGGCAACTTTTGGATTCTGAAGTTTGTTTTACGAATAGCAGCAGGTGAAGGGATATCGTATAAGAGTGAATGATGCAGAGTCACGACCCTCAGCAACGAGGATAGCGACGCGAAGAGGAGAGTGATTTACAGATTTTCAAATTTTATTTTTCCGTAATATTATTAAACTAGATTTTTTCGTATTTGTAAATCAAAGTTAGAATTTCGAGATTATTAAATTTTGAAAAATTTTGTTATACGGGCATAATATGTATTTGTGGATTAACATCCTAACGGTAATCCCATCTTTTTTTGCTTGTTTTACTTATGGTATTTGAAAATGATATGCCTACTAAGAAATATTTTCCTCAAAACTTAAACCCCCGTCCACACGGTTAGGGCGTTGTCTTTTGTTAACGTTTAGATTAAATCAACGGTGCTCTGTGTCATAATGAACGTTACGCAACACCAATCCAATCACATTGTGTTCATGACAATCCATTAGACAGTGTTGGTATTTCCTATATTACTTTATAACTTGGAATGTTCAAATCGATAAGACGATTTCAATATCGGGAACCCACAAAAATTCCAAATCGTGATAAGAATATGTTGAATCAAAGTATTATTTAAGAATTTCAATGTTTTTAACGTTGTAGGAATAATGAATTTTAAAAAGCGAATATCTTAAACACAAATTCATATATTCGCCGGGTTCTTACCGCTATCTTCAACTGAGGTAAAAGCGGTATGCTTGGCCTCGTCCGACTTTTTTTAAAAGACTGCCAATGGGTTGAAAGGTTACCGGAGATGTCATAATAATATGGTGAACTTTAAAACATGCGGTCGAAGTCAACGATCCTGTTTTGCAACCAATATTTTATTTGCCGCTTAGTCAACAAGGATGGTGTCGGTACTAATCTGATCGATCTCATAGCGTCATCAGTGCTCAATTTATTCATTATTGAGGGGAGGTCTTAATGTGAAAGTAGTTGTGGATACCCGCTAGTACTTAATAGGAGCTCAAACTTCATATAAGAATGAATCCTGTAAGATCCTCCGAAAATGAATTTGCAAGACAACAGATGGTCATAACGATAAACTGTATAATCTGTTTGTTTATATAATATTCGCTAAAACTTTAAAACATTGTTCGTAAAGAAATGAAACGACATGGGCCACTCTCCATACATTGCACGGCCCACTAAACGAAGTTCAAGGACAGTAATAAAATTAAGTTTAAATAACAGACTATATATCCCTTTTCTTATAAAAACAAATTAAAATCGATGTTGTTCATGGGGATACAGAGATATTTAAAAAATAAAATAATAATTTTAGGTTATATCATACGATTTTGCTGTCAATACACTGACACTTTAACATTATCATCAGCTTAAATATTACTATACTTTATGACACAGATCTAATTCAATGAGCGCCAAGACTTAATTTTATGCACAACAAAATATAATAAACAGGTATATAGCAAGGAAACAATAATATCCACAACCCATGTAACGATTTATTCTACGGATTTAAAAGTATAAAAATAGATTTTTGTTTAGATAAAATATTTTATATTAATTTCAAAATCCATTTATTAACTATGTTAATATATTTTGATAGTTTTTTTGCAATATAATGTTTTTTTTTAAGAAGATTTACTTAATGTGAATTGTTTAAAATATAAATGTAGCTTAGTCATGCTAATTACTTTTTATTTATGGTTTTAATTATCTCACCATTAAAATACCCTTAAATTTTATAATAGGTATGTAAAAATGAATTTCTTTTTTCTATAGATATTTCATTAATGTCCTTGAGAGCACGAGTAGCTGGGTCGAAAATGGCCCATGTTCTTTATAAATCTCTCCGAAACATATAGGTTTGTATCACGCAGCTAAATTACCTGTAATAGATCAGTCTTGACACTGAGATCGTGCTTCAGTTGCGTAATGTGGTCCCGTGCTGTTTTCAACTCTCCTTCAAGTGCTGTGACGCGAGACTCCAAACGTCCATTAGCAGTCAGCAATTCCTTACCGATACGTGCCGTCAATTCCAAATCTTTCTCTTTCTGTTATGAGGACAAAAAAATTTGCTTACAATCCTATTAGAAACTATACTACTACTAATTTAAAACTGGCACAAAAACCTACTCAAGGTTTTTGCATTGTTTAGTAAGTTTTTGTCGAACAATACAGCGTGTTAAATATACCTAATAAATATTTTTAATTGTGTACGTGTTATAACAGCGAGAACTTCAAAAGTCCACAAAGTTAAATGAGTAAATATACAAACAGTGAATAAGCCAAAACATAATATGTTTTCTAAGTTATTTTGAACTCAGACATAACAATCACCGATTTCTATTCTCACGCTTGTACCCTTCGAAGCGATTGATAAAACCAATGAACTTACTTCTTCTAAGAGCCGTGTTACCGCTTCGATGTCATTGTAGGTTTTTGTCATTTGGCTCACCCTGTTGCTGCATAGAACTGTAAACAAGATTTCCACCTTGTAACCAATGTTGTAAAAGGATATTCCCTACATATATGTTCACAATTATTTTCATATATCTCTATATTTATATCTTATATCTCTATATTTACAACGAACAATAGAAAAGATAAGTGTATGTAATAAACACTAATGAAGTGCTTGGATACGATTAAAGAATTCAATAATAAATCCTTGACACCAAAACTAAATAAATATATTGTTTTTTTTTTTAATTCGCTATTAAATATAGTTATTTTCATCAATCAATCGTTTGAAAAACGCTTTTATTGGCTTGGTATGTATCTATGTAGCGGAATCTTTCAAAATTATTTTCACCATCACACGCATTTTTACGAGCTTTTTTCTAACTTTTTTACTTTATACTGTCTAGCCGTCTGGCTAGCTACAAAAGCGTGTCTTTTAGATTTTTTAATTATTATTTGTAATAGATACTTTAATGAACGACAGTCATTCTTTACTTATTTTATTCATGGTTTGACCTATTTTAATGATAGTTTGCAATTTAAACAAATTTGAGCGAACGATAATTTTATTATCTCCATTAATAATATATGCATTCCCTTTTCATTCTGAGTTATATATGACTCCATTTCGAAGCACGTATCGCCTATCTCTTAAGTTTTTATCGTATTAATGCCACATTACTATGGCGATATAAGCGGATTATATTTTTAATGAATACTGTAAATATGTATACCTCATGTGTTTTTAAAATTATAAAAAAAAATGTGTTTAGTTTGTACATTTTCTATGAGCGCATAAGTCGTATGTCCAAGTGAGTTTAAGCTTTATTCAGTTTTTGCTGGTACTTCAGGCATAGTACCAGATGGCGCGCGAGTCGAGTCGTCCGAATTAAATCTAACCTGTTTTAGGACAATATCCGGTTTATTGATACCTTCCCACTTTCTTCTGATAGTTACGAAGTGCACGTAAGCACGGCTCCCTTGACTGCATTCCAATCTAGTTTTCGGCTACACATATTTATATGCATACAAATTAAATGTCTACTTGTTATCCAACTACGCTCAATGAGTTTATTTATACTAATTAGAAAATTATTTTCGTAATATCCTATAGTAGAATATTGCTTCAGTGTTGTTATCGTTTACAAATAACTTTACTTTGTATTTTTATTGTTTACTGTTAGCTGCAGTTTACTAATAGCAATTCATACTGAGATTTTTGCATGTGTATTTTATTATGTTTGCATCGATACGTAGATAAACTGTCGGTCACAATCAAAACTCCGGTTGTAGTTTTGATTTGTACTTGTATTATTATAGTATTTACCCATCAGACCCCATTGGGTCAAATAACAAAACTTAAAATATCGCGGTTATATTTTGTTGATCACAATATTTTCAAACACAAATTTATAATAAATGAACACATGAGCAAGCCTTATGATGCAGTTCGGTTAAGTACAAACAAACAAAAAAATATCTTACTGGACATTCCGATTAAAAAACAATTCTTCAAAGTACAACACTATGACCCGCGCCGACAACCCAATAATTTTCAAAGAACGCGAATCGTTGCAAACGCTGAGCAGCGCGCAAATGAGGCTGAAGAGTGTGGACTAAACACAAAGTTAATAGTACGAACTGGCCGCGTCGGACACTGATAAGATACCGATATTAGTGCTTTCAAGTTGTATATAAAACGTATTTACAATAAAACTCACGACAATCGACTTAAAATACATACTGACCCTCTAAAATCTCTTCAGAGTTCGGCCTTCGCGCGTTCATCGAACTAGCGTGTTTGACAAATTCTTTATTAAAACATTACATTGCATTTTTCGTTTTGCTATAATAAGCAAACACAAACTAGTGGCAATACATTGGTGTATAAATAAACGATGGAAGGTGTTGTAATTAGAAACAAGAGATACGGGCGCTAGGTAACTGATCAAGTTATCGACTGTGATGTGATGTAGCTAACGTACTACGCAACGACCGAGCCCTGCCGGTCCCGTGTCGGTTTTGTGAGGAACAAGCAAAACAAACCATTCCATTGTGTTTGTCAATGGGAAAACTGCATTACAAAAGACAACAGACGAACATCACCATTTTCATACTTCTGTCATTATTACAGTATTTTTAGATTATATTGTTAGCATTTTCTTAGGTACTCGTAATTCAAATTATTTTTAAGGTTTAATCTCCGGTTTAATTATTTGAATTTTATTCCACGAACAAATAAAAACAGTAAAGTTTTCTGAAGCTTAGAAAATAGTAATCGTAAAAAACAGTTTTATTTAATCGTTGTGACGTTCTTTTATAATTCAAAAAAAAAAAACGATCTATGTAGCCCAAACAAATCTGTTTGAAACACAAAAATTAATGACTATACGTTCTGTTTTTCTTATCTACTACTACTTACTATACGCTCTGTTTTGTTTTTTGCTTATATCATTTACGTAGCTGCAATTTATGACGTTATAACTAGTCAGGTCATAAGTATTGTCACACAGTAAAAACTTTTCTTTTAGAATGCTGGCCACAAAAAAGTTTATTGAATTCGAATTTCGAATTGTTCATGAAAATAAAAATGTATACTTTTAGAATTTTACTCATTTTTAAATATATGGAGTGGACGCTTAAAGAAGACCGTGTTGCAGTTATTGCGTTGCATCGTTGCGGTTACGCGCCAATTCAAATTTTTAACATACTGAAAAATTTGAATATAACCAAAAGATTCGTTTATCGTACCATCAAACGATACAATGAAGACTCTAGTGTAGATGACAGGTCAAGAAGTGGTCGCCCTCGGTCTGTTAGGACTCCAGCAGTGATAAAAGCTGTGAAGGCGCGAATTCAAAGAAATCCCAAACGTAAGCAGAAACTGTTGGCCCTTCAGATGGGGTTAAGCAGAACCACGGTGAAAAGGGTGTTAAATGAAGACTTAGGGCTTCGGGCATATCGAAGAAAAACAGGACATCGTTTGAATGCTCGTCTAATGGACCTGAGACTGAAGAGATGCCGCGCTTTGTTGAAGCGGTACGCGGGAAAAAAATATCGGGAAATTCTTTTTTCGGATGAAAAAATTTTTACCGTAGAAGAGAGCTACAACAAACAAAATGATAAGGTGTACGCACACAGTAGTGAAGAAGCGAGCAACCGTATTCCGCGTGTCCAACGAGGTCATTTTCCATCCTCGCTCATGGTATGGTTGGGAGTTTCTTATTGGGGCTTAACAGAGGTACATTTTTGTGAGAAAGGTGTAAAAACGAATGCAGTTGTGTATCAAAATACAGTCCTGACGAACCTTGTGGAACCTGTTTCTCATACCATGTTCAATAACAGGCACTGGGTATTCCAACAAGATTCGGCGCCAGCTCATAGAGCGAAGAGCACACAAGACTGGCTGGCGGCGCGTGAAATCGACTTCATCCGGCACGAAGACTGGCCCTCCTCCAGTCCAGATTTGAATCCGTTAGATTACAAGATATGGCAACACTTGGAGGAAAAGGCGTGCTCAAAGCCTCATCCCAATTTGGAGTCACTCAAGACATCCTTGATTAAGGCAGCCGCCGATATTGACATGGACCTCGTTCGTGCTGCGATAGACGACTGGCCGCGCAGATTGAAGGCCTGTATTCAAAATCACGGAGGTCATTTTGAATAAACTTTAGTGTCATAAGAATCTATGTTTTGTTAAGTTCATTTTGGTATATGAATGGTTACATAATGAATAAACTTGTTTCAATTATTTTACATTAAACATGTGACAGAATTTATGACCTGACTAGGTATATTTCGTATTATGATCACACAAGTGAATTTAAGTTTACCGCTGCAAGTCAAGAATCCGTTCCGTTAGTTGGTTTTTATGCACGTGAATAGGTTTTGCGCTCTTATCTAACATTACGATACAATACGTATCGATTGTGACTACGATTATGTCTTTCACACGAGGTTGAAAACTTTCACGGTTTTTATCGTGCACGTAGTTACATTTCCGTAGTTTATTACAGTAAACGCGGAGTACTATTACCGGTACTTTTTTTTTTTAATTCTTTATTAGAGCCATACACCTATTAGGTTGAGTCGGCTTTACCGGTACTTAAAATAAGAGTTAGTCTTCAATTAATACGATGTGAATGTTTTTACTGTAAAATCGAGTAAAAATAAAAATAAAGGATTCAGCGTTAGTGGCGGTTATTTTGTTCATCCCTAGAAATATCTGTTTACATTTTCTAGTGTGTGTTTTTTATTTATAACCAAATCACGTTTGGATTATTATTATTATGTACAAAGTTTTTATTCTCGAATTTTTATACATTTCGGTAAATACTGAAAACCACGGGCCTAAGCAGAGTTCATTTTCAGTTTTAATTTCATTTGATTTTTTCCGTTATTCTTATATATATACTAGCGGACCCGGCCACACGTTGCTGTGGCTGTGGCTTAGGTTTTTGTTTCTAAATAACTCGCGGCCGCCTATGCTAATACCAAAAATTGACAACGTAAGAACAATTGGATTTCACTGTATTGCGTTTACTACGAAATAAATTTCACTTATACTTTAGCCTCAGAAACACGTGGTGCTTATATGTGAAACGTTGGTATTTTTAGCACAGCGCCATCTATGAGATATTAAAGTCACAGTATAACAATTGTCTGTAAAAACTGATTTAAGGCGCCATCTGTTTTAGACTTATGAAACTTACAATTAATAACAAAAATCAACATAAGAAATCATTTTATTGTTAATTAATAAATATTGCGACCATTCATCGAAATAAAAACCNTAGCACAGCGCCATCTATGAGATATTAAAGTCACAGTATAACAATTGTCTGTAAAAACTGATTTAAGGCGCCATCTGTTTTAGACTTATGAAACTTACAATTAATAACAAAAATCAACATAAGAAATCATTTTATTGTTAATTAATAAATATTGCGACCATTCATCGAAATAAAAACCATCCTATCTCTCAAGTTGGATCGAACTGCATATGGTGTGCG